AATATAACTTTTGTATCTGATAAGGCCAGCCAAGTACTCTCAGGATTTATCGGGTAACTGCATTTGAAATAACTTTTCATTTGACAAAAAGGAAATACAAAGGCCAAACTCAAACAACACATTTTTTGGGTTTTTTTTAATGACCATGATAGAAGGATTTTTTGGGGGGAGGGGTGCTGGCTCAGAATGCCTTCAGGGCATGTTTGGCTGGCTGGAGTTGTGGGGATCGAACCACAGCAACCTGAGGCTAACTGCTTTGTTGAAGCAGCCACTTAACCAACTGAGCTAAGGGGCAGGCCCCTACCAGGATAGATTCATGCAGAAGCTTAGGCTTCACACTTGGTTATTTATAAAACCAGATATACTACTTCACTTATCCATCTAACTTATCACCATACCAAAAACAAACCGCCTAAGTAAGCAATCGTCTTCATTAGCAGCAATACATTCACATCATCCTATCATGATCATCCTATCCTGTCCTTTGCATCTTCCCATTGTCCCCAGGCTTCACCTCCAGATCACACTGTGAGGTAGCTTCCTTTCCTCTAGTTACTGTGGGCTCTGACTGCATACCAGAGTTCCTTTCACACTGGCAATTCAGCACTCCATTGAAGCTAGGTGTGCCATTTCACTGTATTCCCTGGTATCTATGAATTACTAGACACGTTGTCTCTTTTTCCATGACAGTATATAACCTCTCTTAGTAATTTAAAAAATAGCATCTTTATTTCATGTTCTTTCCATGACTGGCATAAAGTACAAAGGACGCTTAATAAATATTTTAAGGTGATTTCTATGTCATAGTTCATACTTCATGCTATTTTCTTTTCTTAGGAACTTTTTCAGCTTTCTAGTAGCCATGTCCCTTAGATCTTTCAGAACCCTAGGACCGCCTATAAAATTTTCCTGGTTTGATAAGACTAGTACCTATTCATTTGTCGTATGCTTCCTACCTTGCAATCGTGATGCTGAAGTATTGTCACACTTGTATTTGTATTGTTTTTCCTGTAGAGCATCTTTCTCCAGGAAATATTAACATTGTACCTCTACACAGAATTCAGAAGTGCACGCCACACACAGCAGTTATGTTGATAGAGTACTGCTGCTGAATACATACAAAAATAATTTTTCAACTCATTAACTTTGACCCATTATAGTGAAAGACAATGATTTACAATGTCTACTATTCCCCTTGCCTCTAGTAAACCTTAATACCAAGATATTTATCAAAGTACGATTCAGTGACCTTGGGGGAAAAAAAAAAACCAGGAAATGGGGCATAAACTAATAAGTACCCTGCAGAGAAAACAAGCACTTATTACTAACTGAATTCAGAGAAAACATGTTTTTTGTTTCCAGGAATATGAGACAGGAAGATGAACAAAATATTGCCTCTGAGACAAGAGGAAGACAAGTTCAGGACACAAACTGAAAAAGGATAATTAATTCTGCCAAAAAGGGTTATTAGTAAGAAATATTTTGCTGTTGTTTAGAAGATGAAATAGAAGCTTATCTTTGAACATAAAAATTAAAACACTGGGCTGGCCAAATAGCTCAGTGGATTAAAGGGCCTGCAAGCAGACACAGGGGCCAGGGGTTCGATCCACGATGCCCGGGCTTGCTGTGCTAGCCCCGCCCCTGGGGCATGCTGAGACAACAATTGAGACTGGGCATGGTGGCCAAGCCTTTAATCCCAACTCTTGGGAAGCTGTAAACATGTGGATCACTGAGTTGGATCTAGTAGTGAGACTTTGAACACAGTGTAGACCCTTCCCTAAAAAATAAAAAAAATTGAAAAATAATTGAAACACTGAAGCCATATGCTGTGTATTTTAGGATCCTTGTTTTCCTTTTATATTAGTTTTTCCTGGCTCTTATAAGGATCCAAAATATATTCTTGACTTTTCAAAAATTATTTAGGATTAATGTTGAATTACTTCGTGGAACGTACAGAAATCTCAGAAATTATGAGCCCCTTTTTTCACCTTCCCACCCTTGTTGCTATAGCTTTCAAGTTTCAATACCTCTGGCCTGACTGGGATCTCAGCTTCTGGGAAGGCTGACGCAGAAAGATCAAAAACTTGATGAGCAATGTAGTGAGGGCCGATCTCAAAATAAAAATGGGCTAGAGATGTAGCTGAGTGATAGAGCACTTGCTTAACACATGCAAGGAGGCCTTGAGTTCAATCCCCCAAATGGCCAAAAAAAAGGAATAAAATAAAATAAACACCTGATACTCTTTCTCTTAAGATCTTAATTTTTAAAAATTTTTTAAAATTTATTTTATTTTATTTTTCTAGGGAAGGGTCTACAGGGTGTTCAGGGTCTCACTACTAGAGTGGACTCTTAATGATCTGCTTGTTTACAGCCTCCCAAGGAATGGGATTACAGGCACATGCCACCAAGCCCAGTCTCAAGATCTGAATTTCTAGCTGGCATTCTTTTGGGCCAAAGAATGTCTTTGTAATTTCTTAGGGTCTTTGTGATTTCTTATTTCATCCATAAGAAATAAATAAATAAATCAGTGCTCACTAGAGAAATGGATTTAATGTAAGATATGTAAGTATATAACGATTTACAAGGTTGGCTTACCATGGCCATACACAGAGTCAGGTGTGGAAGACTGCAAAATAGTCTGTGCACTGGGATCCAAAGGATCCAGTCCAAGTCCTAGAGCTCAGTGTAGTATCCCATGTGAGTCTGTACCAGGAGGCCCAAAGGTCTGCGCTGAAAGCCTGAAGAGTCTACGCTGGAAGTGAGGAGACTGCTTTCAACATGAGGATGCAGACTGGAGCTCCTCTGAAGACAAAGTGAGCTATTGGCTTGCTTGGAGCTTTCACAGAGAGGTCTCCAGGGTAAAGAACACACGTATGCAAGACATCAGTAACAACAGCCGGCAGCATGGAGCAGAGCAGAGTACAAGAGCAGCTTTCCTGTGTAATTCTCCTTCTTTCTTTTTTTTTTTTTTTCGCAGTACCAGGGATCAAACTCAGGACCTTGTGCTTGCCAGTCAAGCACTTACTCTACTGAGCTATCTCCCTGGTCCTCTTGTAAAATTCTTATGCAGTCAACTGATGCTCATATTCATTGTCACTGGATAAAGCATTGAGTGGATATGGTTTTTTGTCCTCAGAATTTTAAAGATATTATTCTAGTGTGTTACAGTGTCTATTATGTTTGTGATGAGACATCATTATTTTAACCAGTTTCTTGTTTGTGTCATTCTTTGGCAGCTTTCAGAATATCTTTAGTTTCCGTAATATATTGTGTCCAGGTATAGGCAATGTGATCCTAGTCCCCACCTCACTTCCAAATTCCCAGGATCCCCAGGTAAATGCAAACTTCTGACCACCTGCTTACAAATTCAGGTGTTTCCCAGCCTTCTCAGTTTCCTATTTCTCTAGAATGACTCACAGAACTCAAAAAAGCGGTCTACTCATACATAAAACTTTTGTGTCTTTGGAACACATCACCTCCCTGGCACATTCATGTATAATCACTAGGCAAGGAAGCTACAACCACAGGCACAGCCTACCGTGACGGGTCCATTATGCCAGGTCCATTTCAATTCTTTCCTCCTTCTTTGAGAAATCAACAACTCTTACATATAATTTCTTTCTTCTTAATTCATATTATTGGGACAGGCTGCAGAACATGTTAATATAATTTTTGCTCTTCACAAATTTTGCTATAAAAATACTCCTAATTTCTTTTAGTCTTGAAATTCTGAAATGTAAAGGAATAACCCAAGTAAATAAAATTGTTTAAAATGTTCTTTTATGGTTAAAGTCTGGATTTTTTTTTTTTTTTTTTTTTTGCAGAACTGGGGATTGAACTCAGGCCCTTGTGCTTGCCAGGCAAGCGCTTATTCTACTAAGCCATCTCCTCAGCCCCTGTAACTCTTAAATACAATGAATTTTCAATAAAACTTCTTTTCTGCTTACACAACCATATGCCAACAAGCTATGATTTCTGCACCTTCTCAGAGTATATTTTCTACCATGAACACCACGTAGACTATACAATAGGAACCATGCACACACGTTATTATATCCCAAAGTGGTAGTCTAGTATATATGGATTAATACTTTCACATATACACAGGATAACGACTAACACATTCATGTAATACATATAATACATTAAAGGAAAATACTTCGGTTGATTAATTACCGTGTCAGTTATGGCTTGCATCTAACGTCCCTCCAAAGCCTCATGGCTCACAGGTGGGGCTTTTCAGAGGCAGCTGGATGTGAGATGTGTGACACTGGGATTAAGGGTACAGGGCACTGGACCACTAACTGGTTCATCACAATTCTGGGTGTGGATAACGGAAGACCCACCCTGGGTGTGGGGGGCACCACTTAAAGGCTTATAACGTGGATCCCATGATCTCAGATCCTGCCCTTGTTTTCTGTAATATTTATATAATGCTAGTTTTAAAGTGCCTTTCAAAGCTCCAAGTTGCCTGGAGATTACTCAGCATCATTGAACAGCTTTTTGGACTCTTTCCTCTCGACTGAGTTTGTCTTTCACCATTTGCTTTTCTATCTCAAAGATTTCTTTTCCTTCACTCTCGTGACTGATTCCGCCTCATAATTCCTCAATTAGCAGCCCAAACCAACTCTGTTCTACTCTCACTCCATTGAAAAGGTTAATTCCACGCGGTTTTTTGGGAACCTGGAACCGAACTCAGGGCCTTGCGCTTGCTATGCAGGGGCTCGTATCACTGATTTATATCCCCGGGTCTACAGATCGTGAATTCCGGAGTGAAGCACTCGGTATCCTACTGTCCTTGGGCGCAAGCTTTTACGCTGTCTCTCGAGATTTTCCGCGCTCTTTCTCCAAAACCAGGAACTTTCTTCCGCCCCTCCGCCTCAGGTGAGGTCGCAGAGCGCACGCACACGTTTCGGGTGACCCGCGCACCGTCCGCGCATGCGCCACCCTGCAGGCGCGTGCGCAGAAGAGACGCCGGCGCGCCGGCGGTGACGCGACCGGCGCGCCGCGCTGGAGTTTGCGCAGCGCCGGGGGGAGGAGTCGAGATCCGTCGTAGCGATGGTGCGCTGCGGTTGCGTGTTGTTCAGAAAGGTCCGTGTCTGACGTCCCTGGGCGCGGTGCTCTTGTGCCATCGGAGGTCCCGGGTTTTCCCCGCTCCCCTCATCGTTGTCCCGGGTCGGGCTGCCGCGGCGGGAGGGCTGCGTCGTGTCCTCGGCCTGCAGCGGGTTTGGGGCCAGGTCCGAGGGGCTTGGGGTCGGCGTGCGCGCGCGGGACCGGAAACGGCGCCTGCCGGTCGCGGCACGAAATACGGCCCACGGTGGAGGACAGGCTGCGTTTCCTTTTGTTGTGCCTCCCATATTACAGCCCCTCTCTCTCTCTCTCTCTCTCTTTTTTTTTCTCTCTCTCTCTCTCTCTCTCTCTCTCTCTCTCAAATAAATAAATAAATAAAATTTTTTTTTTTTTTTTTTTTTTTAGCGGAATCAGGGATTGGACTCAGGTCCTTGCGCTTGCCAGGCAAGGACTTATTCTACTGAGCCATTTCTCTGGACAAAAGGATTTTGAATGTTTTTGTTTTGTTTTGGCAGAACTGGGGATTGAACTCAGACCCTTGCCCTTGCCAGGGCAGTCTTTATTCTACCGAGACATCTCCCCGGTCCCCCCCCCTTCCGTTTTTAATATCCTTACCACGTTTTCATGTATTTTTTCCTTGAGCGCATAGCTTTTAAGCAGTTTCTAAAGAAAGCTTTATCAGGAAACAATGTGTGCTTGGTGTGCGTTCTTGCCAAAAAAGTAGGTCAGTTTTGGGGTTGTGTCGGACTAAGAATAGTTTTTGTAAAAATTCACAACTGGTTGGCCAGGTAGGTCAGCAGAGTGAAGGGCCTGCTTAGGCAGAGCTCAGCGGCCGGGGTTCCATCCCCAGCGTGCTGCGCCGGGGGCGCTGAGGCTACAATTGAGACAGCGTGGTGGTGCTCGCCTGTAATCCCAGCACTTGGGAGGTTGAAAGCAGGAAAATCAATATTGAATCGGAATCCACGCAGTGAGATCCTGTAGACCCAGAAAACCCTGTACTAAATGCATTTAAAATAATAACTACTTTAAGGGGTAGTTAAACTACTTTAAAAATCCCGTAATAACCTTACTAGTAATGATCTTGAAAACTTGCTGATGTTATGTTTTGGTCATTGCCTTTTCACTACCACTGTGAGATATTTAAGTGTGTCTTCTAACATTGTGAATCGTATGAATAAAGTTACAGGAGTATAAAATGTCACACCTTGAACAGAATTTTAAAAACCCTCTGAGGAAAACGAGCTTTGATTTGAGAACTGATAAACACTAAATACAGTATAAGATTTCAAAAGGTACAATACAGGTACAAATTGCAGGGAGACATGGTGTTACGCACCTGTAATCCCAGCTCTTGGGAAGCTGTAAACAGGTGTATCACTATGAGTCCGATGTAGTAGTGAGACTGAACACCCTGTCGACCCTTCCCTAAAAAAAAAAAAAAAAAAAAAAAAAAATTGCAGGGAGAAACTGCAGTGTCAGGGTAACAATTGATTAGAGGAATTAAGAAATGTGTTTCCCAAATGTTAATTTAAACCGTCTGTTGGTGCCATTATTCCAGAGTAGAGTGAAGCTGTGACATTCAGGTCAGAATATTATTGTAGAGAAGAACAAATGACATACCTAGAGGAAAAGCGTGCACAGAGTGGCATGGAGAGGTAGCAGTACATCACGTATAAAAGAGCAGAGAGGATTGGGAGACTGTGAGAGGCTGAATAAATGAAGAAATTGATACTGGAAGGGTGGAGTAAAGGCTTTGAATATAGTACTATGAATTTTAGACTTCATAAACAGTGAAAACAAGCCAGGGAGTTTTTAGTAGGAGACGAATTTAAGAGGTTAGATCCACTTCAGAAACTATCTTTTAGCAACAAGTTGGAAGGTGTATTACCTTTGGAAAGAGTGGACACTGGAAACTTTTAGGATGAGATGTGTCAGGATTCTAGTGCAGTAGTATTGGAAAGGAGAGAAGTAGCAGGAAATAGGTACAGTCTGAAAGACTTGGGTAATCTCAACAGATAAACTGATTCCATTAAGGAGACATTTCAGGAATAGATTTTGTGGGAAGAGCAATGGGGAGGGATGTAGTTTCGTTTGTGATTCAAGTATTACCAATGGATAACCACCAAGAGGTTACACATTTGAGAAGTTTTTAAAATACAGGGCTGCTCTCAGTTGCTTTAAACTGTTACAAGCCTGTACCCTGCTGGAGATGTGCATGAGCTGAAGCATTGGAAGTAGCTGGCTTAGATGATAGCACAGGCTGAGGTCACTCAGGAGGAAAGTTTAGGGTGAAAAGGGGACCAAGGTTTGGTCCTTCAATAAATGAACAGTATCTGATTATTGACAAAGAGAATCTTAAGAGAAAAGTGGGAGAGGGGTTGAGCTAAGAAACAGCAGTGGAATAGGCATGAAGAAAACTGTGTCTGATTCTTGACTAGAATTAGAAAGGAGTTCACTAAGTTCGTAAACACGTTTTATGTGAAAATGCTTTTTCCTCTGCCCCATACATTTTCTCCTTTTAAGCTGTTACTAAAGACTATCAGGAAACGATGTGTAATTGGTGTGCCTTGCTGAAAACGTAGGTCAATTTTTATGTAATGTCAGACTTTGGTTTTTGTAAAAATTTACAGCTACTTCACAGAAAAAATTATAAATTCTGTCTCCTTTTAGTACGGAAATTTCATTGATAACCTCAGACTCTTCACCAAGGGAGGAAGTGGTGGAATGGGTTATCCTCGCTTAGGTGGAGAAGGTGGAAAAGGTGGTGATGTCTGGGTTGTAGCCCATAAAAAAATGACTTTGAAACAACTTAAAGACAAATATCCTCAGAAACGGTTTGTGGCTGGAGGAGGAGCGAACAGTTGGTAAGTAAATTATAAATCAAACCTTTCTCTAAGAAGAAACATTACAAGATAAAACTTAATTTATAATTTGAGGTAAATTATTTCATGCATTTGTAAGTAAGCATCAACATCTAAAATATCTAAACACAGAAAAACTGGTACTAAATAGTCTGGAGTTCATAAATTTTTTATTTCTTCCCTCAGTACTGGCATTCTTTTCTTGACTTCCTCTGTAGACAAAAAAATGATCTGAATCCTCACTGTTCTCTGCTAAATTTATCTTGGTCAAACTTGAAGCCTTTCTCAAGTCAGTCATCTTGGTGGGGATATAAATCAGTGGCACAGTGCCTGCCTGGCAGGTTCAAGGTCCTGAATTCAGTTCCTAGTAAAACAACGAAAGTCACTTATCTATAATTTTTCCACCCAGACATAACCACAGTAAACCTTAACTTTTCTGTATGTTTTGTGTACATTTATACAGTATTATATAAAGTTTATAAAGTCCAATACCAAGAGTACCATATTTTCAGCCTCATCTTTTTAACATTTTTTTCATGTCAGAAACTTATTCAGGAGACTCGCTAATATTACAGTCTAGAAATTAACATTTGCCTATTGAACTTCTGTAGATACTTTTTATATAATTGTTCATTTTTTATAAATTGTCAGAAGTGAAATTAGTAAAGAGTTTCAGTTTATTCTCTTAAGAGCAATATGAAAGTAGCCAGACTAGCTTTTAAGTGCTCTTCTTTGAGATCAATTTCTTTTTGTTTCATTATTCAGGGAATTTTCTTTTTCTTTCTTTCCTTATTTGCATTGTGACAGCGATCTCTTCATTTTAGAGAGGCAATATCTTAGCTCATTTTGATTAAGATGACTTGGTAACTAGTAACTTTTTTTTTGCGGTACCAGGGATTGAAGGTAATTAGTAACTTAAATACTCATTTATCACCATTTATGGAATATATCAGTGTAAAATGCACTGTGTAGAAATAGTTGTAGTTTTCTTCTAATACTCGATCATTTAATGTGTACATTAACCTGAGAAATTATTTGCTTTTTTTTTCCACTCTTTTGGAGGGTAGTATTAGTGCACTGAAAGGTTCCAAAGGAAAAGACTGTGAAATCCCTGTACCTATTGGTATTTCAGTAACTGATGAAAATGGTAAAATTATAGGTGAGTATATTGTAACTTCTAAGGTGGTGAAAAATATGTACATTTTCCAAAATTGGAGATTTACAAGAATAGCTTCTCTTGGGTTTCAGACATTTTTTTAAACATAAATAATTTTAGTAAATTTTTAAAAAGGTTTTTAAGGTTATATAGTAATTGCTGAAATTTTACTGATTTAAGATTATTTTAGAGTTATAAAAGTACTTGATTTTATTTATTTATTTGGTACCAGGGATTGAACTCAGTATATTGTGCTTGTCAGGCAAGCACTTTATGCTACTAAGTTATATCTCCAGCCCAGTACATGGTTTTAAAAATTAGTCTGTTCAACTACTTGTGAAAGCATTTTCTAGGGTCAGACTTAATTATTTCATTTTCTAGTGTGGTGTGTGTATATGAATGTGTGTATACGGGCGTGTACCTGTCTTTTTTGTTTGTTTATTTTTTGTCTTTTCCAGACAGGGGTCTCTGTGCAGTTTAGGCTAACCTTGAGCTCACTTTGTAGCCCAGACTGGTTTCGTGCCTCAGCCTCAGCCTCCCAAATGCTGGGATTATGGGCATGTACCACCAGACCCAGCTTTCTAGTCATTTTGCGGGTTGAACCCAGGGTCTTGTACATGCCAGGCAAGAACTCTACCTCTCAGCTTTTCATCATAAGTCTAGTGTCAGAATTTTGAAAGAAATTTAGTCTTGTAGTTTAGTCCTTATGTAAATTACAATTTATTGGTGTGTGTTATGAAAGAAAAATAGCATATGTGGTTTATCTTTGCTGTATTCTCTTACTCATTTAAAGGAGAACTCAATAAGGAGGAAGATAGACTTTTGGTAGCTGAAGGTGGCCTTGGTGGTAAACTACTTACAAATTTCTTACCACTGAAAGGCCAGAAACGAGTGATCCATCTTGACCTAAAACTGATAGCTGATGTAGGACTTGTAGGGTAAGTGCCATACATATTTTTAATGTACTGTATAAATATTAATAATTTTGAGGCAGAATTGTTTCTAGTTTGTAGAATTTGTGTGTTGAGGTACTTGGAGGATGTATAACTCAGTATAGAGTTGGTCATTGAATAATGGAAACTTGGGGTGCCAGTCCCAACAGTACTCTTCCTGTAGTGAAAAGTCTACATGTAATTTGCTATCCCCCAAATTTAGTCACTACTGACCTGCTTGTTGACTGGAAATCTTATAAATAACAGAAACAGCACATATTTTGAACAGTACATGATGAAAAATACAAGAGCTATGAGATCACTTTGGGGTAGGTTGATTGATGTGGGGGTCTTGCTATGCAGTTTAGGCTGGGCTTGAACTCATTATGTAGCTGAGGCTGGCCCTGAAGTCCTTAGCCTCTGGAGTGCTGGGATTGCAGGCATGCACCACCAAGCCTGACTTGTGTGAAATCACTTATTGTGATCTGCAAGAGATGAACTGCTTATGTGGATGAAGCAGCACGGGATAAGTCCATAAGAGACAAAGGTGGGAAAAGTTTATTTATTTATTTATTTATTTTTATTTATTTATTTTTTTTTCTGCAAAGCTTTATTCCGGAGGGGCTCAGTCCTTCTTGGCAGCTGCCTTCCTCATGGCGGCCAGCACGTTGCTCAGCTCCTCATGCTTCCTCTTGGAGCGGATGTGCATCCCCACCCTTTTCTTGATGAACTTGAGGGCGCGCTTGTTCTTGGAGACCTTGAGCAGCTCCATGGCGCGCCGCTCATAGGGGGCGAAGCCGCACACTTCCCGGATCATGTCCCGCACAAACTTGGTGTGTTTGGTGAGACGTCCGCGGCGGCGGCTGTGCCTCAGTTTGCTCACATTCTTAGTCATCTTGTGGCCCTTGTTGAGGCCCACGGCCATGGGATAGCGGAAGGCCATGGCTACTCTTTTTCAATGGTTGCTGTCTATTTTTAAATTTTTTGACATCAGTTATTTTTATTTTAAAGAAAAAAAAAAAACAATGGTACAAAATCTCAAAACAAGATTTTAGGAGAGTAACA